AGAGGCCACGATGAGAGAAAGAAAGAATTGCTCCAATCATTTTGAACCCTGACCATTTCAAGCCTGGCCCTGGTGAGCACACAGAGCAAGAGCTAGCAAAAGCAGCTGCTGTGCCCTTCGTATAAAGTTGCGTGGAGACTACAGGGGAGAAAAGGGCCTTGGTGGCCCCCAGGCCAGCAAGACCACTAACAGGGTTCTCGTGGACCCACATAGGAGTGAGGGGCCACAGACAACTGATAAAAGGAGTCACTCAGAGGCCAGTGAGTCATCACAAGGGACTGGTGCATGGCCTGTCACATGGGAAGTGTTTGGAATGTGGGAGGTAGGGGAGATGTGCCCACCAGGGGGACACTGGGGCACAGCATGGACAGCTGATCTGCCCTCCAATCAGCACAGGTCCACTCAGTGGAGACTGGACAGGAATAGAGAACTGCAGGGGGTGCAATTTTGTGAAAAGACTCAGGCCCAGACCCCAGAGTTTCCATGCAACCCAGGTGTATTGGACCTCACAAGACCCAGAAGTGCTTACAGGGCCAACAGTTAAAACCTGAGCGGCACAAAAAGCCTTCCCCAGAGAATCAGCAGCAAAGCAATTTAGCTCAGCCACAGGGCTCAAGTGCTGGTTCCCATAGTCTGTTCCCCCATTTTCGAAGTAAGCAAAGGACAGCAGATTAGTTCCAGTGCAGAGTTTAAGTGGTGGGGGTAGCTAACAATCCAACACAGAACTGAAAGAAAACACAAAAAACCCACAGATCAGAGATAAAGTTCTCATATTAACCAGTAGAGGTCTAACACCACCAAAGAACACCTATAAAACCTGGAAAGACCAGAAGCCCTCCAGGCTCCCAAGCTGGAGTGGGAGAAGGGCAGAGGGCCTCAGTCACACCACCCCGCATGTCCGCATCCAGCCCAGCAACAACCACCAGGTTGCTACAGGAAGTGCCCTGAGCTCCTAAGCTGGGGTGGGAGGTGGTGGGGCCAAGGGCCTCAGCCACGCCCCCCCAACATCTGCATCCAGTCCAGCAGGGACTGCAAAGCCACTGCTGGAAGTGCCCTGGGCTCCTGAGCTGGGGCAATGTGGGGCTGAAGGCTTCAGCCAAGCCTCATGATGTCTGCACCCAACCCAGTGATGACCACCAAGTCACAGCTGGAAGCTGTCTGGGCTCCTGGAGTTGGGGGGCTGAGGGCCTCAGCCATGCTTCCCCGAAGTCTGCATCCAGCCTAGTCATGACTGAGCTGCCGCTGGAAGCCCCCTGGGCTCCCCTGCTGGAATGAGGAGGGGTGCCACAGGCCTGAACCGCACCCCCCTTCCTCCTCCTCCTCCCACCCATCTCCCGCCCATTTTCCTCTCCCCCTCCCTGCAACTGCTCCGTAACAACATCTTAGAATGTAAATAATAATAATAAATGAATGTTAAAAATATGTATAAAGATGTCTCTGCTGAAAGATTTGTGATTTAACACATGTAGCTGCAGGAAGCACATTAATAAATCATTCTGTGGAGCATGACTTTCCATTTACAATCGGGATACCCTATTAAATAGATTTTACTAATTTTCTATTCCACCTTTTCATGTGCACATATGGAAAGTAAAGCAATAGCTGTGATGTGTTGTCTCCATTAGCAAAAGAACTTTGCAAACGCTTAAGTATGCTAGTTTTATATCAGCCTCATTTTCTGTGAAGTAGAAAATCAGATAATTCTAACAGTGGTTAAATATTTTCATACAATTTATGGGACCAAAGTTTTTGGAAGTTTACTCTGTCAAAGAGGAAACATTTGTTATTATTGTGAAGATACTGTAAATTAATCTAAAAACTCAACATTGAAGAAAATGCTGTTTTGTTTTTTGAGTAATAATACAAATATTAAGCTTAGTGCAGCACAGAGTTGTGGTCAAAACACTGTTCTTTATTAAGAAACTCAATGTAGCAGAAAATGTATTTGGAATTGGTTGTAGCACATTCATAATTAGTAACTGCATCTCTGCATGCCTGATATTCTACCAATAAAATAATTTTCAAAATTTACAAGTATTTTTGTATACACACTTGTAAATTGCATAAATTTACAAGTATTTTTATGCATAAGTATTTTTATATACATTTTATGAACTAGGAAATTTTTGTTATGATCAGATGTTGAATTTTTAAAAAATATTTCAGTAGGTCAGTATTTACATTGTCTGTTTGCTGTCAGCAATAAGATTTTAGAAATATTTGAAAAATATATATACCTCTCCAAATTTACTGACTGAAATTTTTGAGCAAGCCTGAAGTGGAGTGGTGTTGTAGTTTTGAAAAACACATATATCTATTCTGATCATTTTTAGTAGTCCAAAAGGTATTAAGATTATACTCACATTCTTTCTATTTTTTTTATATATAGTGACTTAATTTTTTTATATTTTTTTATTTTATCAATATACAGTGTAGTTGATTTTTGTGTCCCTTTACTGATTCTTCCCTCCCTCTCCCCAACTCCCACCTATCAACATCATATGTGTTCACTTGTCTTAACAAGTGCAAGGAATTGTGATTGTTGTGTCTTCTTCCCTGCACCCCCGTTTGTTTGTGTATATATTTTTAGCTCTCACAAATAAGTGAGAACATGTGGTATTTTTCTTTCTGTGCCTGACTTATTTCACTTATTATAATTTTTCTAAGTCCGTCCATGTTTCTGTGAATGGTAGTATTTCGTTCTTTTTTAACAGAGTAGAATTCCATTTTGTAGATATACCACATTTTCCATATCCACTCATCTGATGATGGCCATTTGGGCTGGTTCCAACTCTCGGCTATTGTAAATAATGCTGCAATAAACATTGGAGTATAGGTATCCCTTCAGCATGATGATTTCCATTCCTCTGGGTATATTCCCAGCAGTGGAATAGCTGGGTCATACGGTAGATCTATCTGTAATTGTTTGAGGAACCTCCAAATCATTTTCCATAAAGGCTGTACCATTTTGCAGTCCCACCAACAGTGTAGGGGGGTTCCTTTTTCTCTGCAACCTTGCCAGCATTTATCATTCTCAGTCTTTCTTTTTACTCTCCACTCCAAGACAATTCATCAAATTTTTGACTCAAATAATTTAGGTGCTTTGCTGCCTTCTCTCTCACTTCTCACAGACACACACATAAAGACCAACCAACTTAGGTGTATCTTGTATTTGTTGCCACTCCTATTTCCCTGTTATTAGTAGATATTCCACGCTGGTTAAAGCTGTGGCTTCTTCCTCTTGATATGTTTGTAATTTCTTCACTTCAACTTGTTTTCCTGCAAAAGTTTTTGACTTTCACTGAAACTCTTTTTGTATGTGCATGTGTCCAGTGTTGTAAAGCTAACCTACAGTGAACTGGTACAGTACAGTTGGTCTGGCTGTGCTCCAAGACTTTGTCAGTGTCATCATCTTTCTATTTGGTGTTTAAAATGACTCATAATTACAAGTTACTAAATTATTCAGTGTAAAGAAAATGTAGTAATGGTGTGTAAAATCCCACATAGGAGTGAGGGGCTACAATTGAAAAAAGGAGCCACTTAAAGGCCGGTGAGTCATTTACAAGGGACCAGTGCATGGCCTGTCCCATGGGAAGTGTTTGGAGTGTGGGGGTGGGGGAGACTGGCTGACCAGGGAAATACTGGGGCACAGCATGGACAGCTGGTCTGCCCTCTAATCAACAAAGACCCACTCATTGGAAACCGGTCAGGAATATAGAACTGCAGGGGATGCAGTTTCCTGAAAAGACTCAGGCCCAGACCAGAGTTTCCACACAGCCCAGGGGTACCAGATCTCACAAGACCCGGATGTGCTTACAAGGTCATCAATTAAAACCTGAGCTGCACAAAAAGCCTTCCCCAGAGAATCAGCAGCAAAGCAACAATTTAGCTCCACTACCAGGCTCAAGTGCTGGTTCCTACAGGAAATTCCCCCATTTTCGAGCAAACAACAACAAAGTAGTTCCAGTGCAGAGTTTAAGTGGTGGGAATAGCAAACAATCCAAAATAGAACTGAAAGAAAAAACAAAATACCTGCAGACCAGAGACAATGTTTGATATTAACTAGTAAAGTTCTCACTTCACCAAAGAACACAATAAAACCTAGAAGGACCAGAAGCCTACTTGGCCCCCAAGCCAGGGATAGGGGAGGGCTGGGGGCCTCAGCCACGCCCCCTACACCCACAACCAGCCTCTCACCATCCCCCCCAACTGCTCTGCAAAAGCATCTTAGAATGTAAAAAAGTAATAATAAAAATAAATTAATTAATTAAAAATAGAAAAAAAGAAATCTTTAGAGGAAAATATCCAGATCTTTTTTGTGCTTTGAATACTGCTTAGTATTATAGCTACTTCAATAAAACTTAATTAAATATTTATACAATACACATAGTCCTACAAAGTTCTGTTTTTCCTATTGTGACAATAATAACTAAGTAGGATCTCCAAAACGGGAAGATAAATTTTCAGGTAGTTTCTTCTTTCTTTCCTTTTTTTTTTTGTCCTTTTTGAGACCGGCTACACTGTGCTCAGCCAGTGAGCGCTGTGAGCAAACTGGTCATCCCTATATAGGATCCAAACCCGCGGTGGGAGCGCTGCTGCGCTCCCAGCGCCGCACTCTCCTGAGTGCACCACGGGCTCGGCCCTCAGGTAGTTTCTAATAGAGTGTAATTAGTTTTTCTGTTTGTTTCCCAAAACAAGACTAATTTTTTTTAACTGAAAATTTTACTTTAATGGGAACAGTTTTGTGAAAATTCTGGCAGTCTTAATAGGCTAAAACAACAATCATATCAGAGGTACATTGTTGTGCTCTTTGAAAATGAACATTAAAACAAGGTAGCATTATACAGGTGGTATATACCAGTTACCTCTGTAATTTTCTCTATCTTGTTAATTTTAGAGACTTGTACTTAAAATATAAAGATTATCCAGGTTGGTTCAATTTCAAAATGAAAGCAAAAGCAGATTAAATTTTTAAAATGATTTGAAGAACTATACCTTACCGTTGTGCACATAGGTGAGCCTCCTTTCTTCTCTGGTTACAATGTTGGAAATCCAAATATCATTGCTATGTATAAAAGCAATCCAGTCTGGATCAGCAGGGCATAATTTTGGATCCATCCGTATGTTGGGACAACTAGTTTCCACTAAATTGGGCCGTAGAGGTTGTTGCTAGAAAAGTAAACATTTTAAGGTAAATATGAGGCTAATACGTACACATTTGTTTCCCAGCACCCTTCCTGTAAAATGAAAAATGAACAATATTTCTAGATAAAATGTCAACTATGAATATTGCTCCCCAGAAAAATATACTTTCAACTGCTTTAACTCATAAGGAAAGACTCATTTTTTTTTACTATGAATGAGAAAGCTATGCGTAATAGAGGAAATACAGACAAACAGCATTTCATAAATTTTGTTGTCCCAATCTGTTTAACAGAGTAATTATTGTTTATTAAATATTTTATTAAACACTTATTTATTGAATATTTTGTTAGATATTTTAAAATTAATTTTACTAATATAAAATAGTTTGCTCATAAAAATGTAGTAAAAGGCAGGATCATCACAATTCTGTCAAAAGAATAGTTCCAATAGTTCATAAAGAATTGCCTAGAATAAAACCAAATATATAAAATCATTTATTAAGATGAATTAGCTTTCAAGGGAACCAAAAATGATGGGGCTGGCCAGTTAGCTCATTTGGTTAGAGCGTGGTGTTACAACACCAAGATCAAGGGTTCAGATCCCCGTACCTGCCAGATGCCCAAAAAAAAAAAATTACCTTGTGATAACATTATCTTCCAAAATCCTCATCAGTGATTACACAGAAAACAGGAATTGATGCCCTTTACAATATCTTCCTATACAGCAAGTGTTTGTAGCATTTTAAAAATTGTATCTTAATGTCACTGGAAGAATTATTAGCTCTTAAAATTGGAAACAAATATCCATATTTCTTGTTTTCACTGTTACTAAATTTCTTAATTGGTAGGTAAACTGAAGTGTTTGGTTTTTTACTTACCTTTCTGATTTGGGTGCAAATAAAATTTAGGACCTCAAAACAGACTTAAAAAGTAGTAACTCCAACTTACGGTAAATCCTTGTGGTCCTCCATCTTTTACATGATAAATTCCACTACCAGCTTGAAAGAGAAAAGTTCCACTTCCTTGATGATAATCATAAGAAGCAATTCCAACTGTTCCAATGCGTTTTCTTTCTCTTAATAGTTCTTCTTCTCGAGAATACATTCCATAGTCCAGTGTTGCCTATTACGGAAGAAAAGACACCTATTATAGTCTTCTGAAAACTTGCCTATTAGCCCTGAAATCCTAGCATCTCCAACATTATTGAGTCTACATTTTGAGTAACCCCCAAATTTTCCAGCAACTATAAGCAGATTAATTTCAGGAAGTCTGTTGAAAGATTTCTTGGTAAAGAATCTTTAGATGATTATTGTATACACTAGAGAACAAGAAAATCCCATCACGTTGGCATTCAAGACTTTCTACAACCTAACTGTGTTTTTTGGATGCAGTTAAGAACACAGACTCTGAAGTCAAGTGCTTTGAATCAACACTTTGACCCTTGACTAGAAGTCTGACCCTGGGCAAGTACCTTAATTTTTTCAAAAGTAACTTTCCTCATTTTCAAAATAGTAATGTGTCATCTACATCAGCTTTGTGAAGATTAATTTAGATAAAAATATGTAAAGTGCTTAGCACAACGACTGGCACAGAGTAAGCTCTCAAATGCCAGCTATTATCAGTACCTTTCCACTATATCTACTAATACTCCTCTAATAAAACCCTAGAGGTCAGGCTGGTTACATCACTGACCTAAAACCCAATGTCTGATTTTCTGTCTCCTGATCTTTGTCTGTTCCACCCCCTACCCCAACTCTTGAAAGGCTTTTTTTCTTTCTACCCATCCAACTTTTACTTATACCCCAAAACCGTAGCTCAAATTCAACCTCAGCCAGTAAAGTTTTGTGATCCGTTGTGGCACACAGTGATCTCTTCTTCAAAATGTTTATAGGAGTTACTGTCTCTTTTGCTTATTTGGTTATGGTATTGTTTTTCACTTTTTCAGTATATTTCCTAACAGACTAAAAAATAATTTTTTTTGAGAGCAGAATCTGTCATTTTGTTTTTCTACCTACAACATAGCTATTACAATCTCTTTCAAAGAATGTCTATAATTAATTGTAACTAATGATTGATGATTATGAGGGGCTTTCCCAAGATAGAAGTATTATTTGGTAAATGAATAAATTTTAAAAGGAAAATAAAGAAGAAAATAAACTTAATATGTGGTACCTTCAAAAAATTACATTTACATCTTCCCTTACTAAGAGCTCTATACGCTTTATCAGAGTATGATAAAGAAAACACATTAAAGGAACAGACATAGTTTCTGCTATCAAGAAATGATACTTTAAAAAGGAGTCTAGATAAGCTTATTGGCAGGAATGTATCATTCCAAAATAAAGCCAGCACACTGAAAGTAAACATTGTTGAATTGTGGCAAATATAGGTACATACTTGCAAACCGAAAATGATGTTTGGTGAGGTTAAAAATGAGACAACCTTAGTATCCTGCTAAAAACCCACCTAGTTTTATGTATTCTTTGTGTCATTTTAAAATTAATTTTTAATTATATATATGCACATTTGTATATGTGTATTAGGCTCCAATAGAAAAAACTAGCAAATTCACTGAATATATACTTTTAATAATTCTGATCTTTCTGTTTGTTTTAAATTTCTCTTATGACTGTTTCCACTGATGTCAAGAGCAATTCTGAGTATATAATTACATTTGTTTCTCTCCTCTTATTCTCTCAGAAGGTTAACAGACTTGGTTAGTTCTTAATATGTCTTAATTCTTAATAATCAGAACATAAGAAAATTTAAGGATAAGAAACTAACTTTCATAAAAGAACTCCATATTTTTAATGTTGTGATAGTAAAATCTGTTATTTGAAAGACTAACAAGGAAGATGGTAAAAAAAATCCTGAAAAAGATCAATCTGGGAAGCAAGATTAGCCTTACTACATACTAAAAAATTAAAACATGAAAAACAGAATAAACAATGATCTAGAACAGAAAATCCAAAAGAACACTGAATATAGAAATTAGTACAAAAAAGATGGTAGGGAGCCCGCTGGTTAGCTCAACCAGTTAGAGCATGGTGCCAATAACACCAAGGTCCTGGGGTTCGAACCCTGTACTGGCCAGCAGAAGAAAAAAAAAAAAAAAAAAAAAAGATGGTGGGGGAAAAGATGGGATTTTTACAATCAGTGTCTACTGATCTAAATTTTAAATCAGTTGGAATTACTGTATAGTCATATGCAAAAAGACAAAACTGGATCCACTTCTTCCATATTCCAAAGGATCAGATACTGAAATGTTAAAAAAGAAACTGACTTTCACTTCCAGCCAAGATGGAGTACTAGGGACCATATTCACCTTCCCACCTGAAACAAATGAGAAAGTGGACCAAATAAATAAAATAACATTTTTAGGACACTAGACTTCAGACAACAAAGGGCAGCAATTCCTGAGAAATGAGCATCAAATGAGGTGAGCTTTATAATTGTCCCAGCTAACTATCTTGAAAGTTTCCAGACAGTGGCACAAGGAGAGGGAAGACAATGGGTCAAAGAAGAAATCACAAAATACCTTGAGACAAAAGAAAATGAAAATATAGTATACCAAAACTTAAAGGATGCAGTGAAAGCACTGCTCACAGGGAAATTTATAACTATAAATGCCTACATTAAAAGAGATCTCTGGGCTGCCAGTTAGCTCAGTTGGTTAGAGCACAGTGTACAATGTTATAACTCCAAGGTCAAGGGTTTGGATCCCCTTACCTGCCAGCTGTCAAAAAAAAAAAAAAAGGGTCTCGAACCAATACCCTAATCTTCCACCTCAAGACACTGGGGAGGTGGCCCACTGGCCCTGACACCACACCACCAAGTGCCCTGCTGACTCAGTGGAGGATGGGCGCCACCATGGGCTCTGGCCAGTGGCAGGTTTCCGCAGAGTGTGGGCCATTTCTGCGCTGCCGCTGCCACCACAGCCCACGGGCAGTCGGCCGGGCGGGCCAGCATTGAAACTGAAAAGTGGTCCCTGTATGACGACCTGAGAGTGGAGACCAGTGACTCAAAAAGAGAAGGCTGATCCAAGAACTTCAAACTCCTCCAGTCTCTGCTTTAAAACAAAACAAAACAAACAAAAAAAGATACTGGGGAAAAACAGAGCAAATTAAACTACCAAAGCAAGCAGAAGGAAGAAAATAATACAAATTAGATTGTAAATAAACACAATAGAGAATAGAAAAACAAAAGAACTCAAGAAAACAAAAAGTTGGTTCATCAAAATTGACAAATTTTCCTAAAGTAATTGAAAGAGAGTGAGCGAGCATGCTCAAATTACTAAAATCAGGAATTAGAGGGGTCATTACTAACAGCCTTACAGGAATAAAAAGGATTATAAGGGAATAGAATGAACAACTATATGCCAACAAATAAGATAACCTAGATGAAAATTCCTAGAAACACACAACACTATCAAAACTGACTCAAGAAAAAGAAAATCTGAATAGATCTATAACAAATAAAGAGATTGAGTTAGTAAGCAAAAAACTTCCAACAAAGAAAAACTTCACTAATGAATTCAACCAAATGTTTATTTCTTTTTTTGCATCTTTTTTATTTTTGTTTCTTCAACCAAATGTTTAAAGAAGAGTTAAGAACAATCCTTCTCAAACATCCCCCCCCCACAAAAGGAGGTAAAAACACTTCCTAACTTATTCAATGAGGTCAGTATTACCCTGAAAACCAAACCAGACAAAGATATCACAAGAAAATAAACCTATAGATCAATATGCTTTATTAAAATAGATGCAAAAATCCTCAACAAAATACTGGCAAACTGAATACAGGAGCATGCTAAAAGGATTATGCAACATAGCCAAGTAGAATTTATCCCAGGAATGCAAGTTTGGTTCAACATATGAAAACCAATCAATGTAATACTCCAATTAATATAATAAAGGAAAAAAACCCCGATAATCTCAATAGACAGAAAATTGAACAAAAAACAACACCCTTTCATGATAAAACCACTCAACAAACTAGGAGTAGAGGGGGAATTTATCAGTCTGATAAAAAGGCATCTGTGAAAAACCCACAGCTAACATCGTTCTTAGTGGTGAAAAACTAAAAGTCTCTTAAGACCATGAAAAATAGAGAATGTTTGCTCTCACCTCTTCTAGTCAACATTGTACTAGAGATTCTAGCCAGGGCAACTGGGCAAGAAAAAGAAATAAAAGCATCTGAACTGTAAAGGAAGATGGAAAACTATCTCTATCTGCAGATGACATGATCTTATATAGAAAGAAAACCCTAAAAATCTATAAAAAAAACCATTAGAGCTAATAAATGAGTTCAGGAAAGTTGCAGGATACAAGATCGATATACAAAAATTATTTGCATTTCTATACACTAGCAATGAACAATCTGACAATGCAATTAAAAAAACTGTGGTTGACATTTAAACTATCATCAAAAATAATAAAACATTTGTGAATAAACTTAACCAAAGTCTAAGACTTGTATACGGAAAACTATGAAACACTACTGAAAGAAAATAAAGAAGATCTAAATAAATGGAAAGACATCCTATGAGCATGGATTGGAAGACAAAGTCAATGGAATACCTATCAAAATTCCAACTGCCTTTTTCCAGATATGGGCAAGCTGATCCTAATAATATTCATATAAATTGCAAGGGACACAGAATAGCAAAAACAATCTTGAAAAAGAACAATGTTGGAGGACTCACCAATTCAACATGGTACTGGCATAAGGATAGACATACAGGCCAACGGACTAGAACTGAGAGTCCAGAAATAAATAAATTTATAGTAAACTGATTTTCAACAAGGGTACTAAGACCATTTAATGGGGATAGTTCTTCAACAAATGGTGCTGTGATAACTGGATAGCCACATGTAGAAGAATTAATTTGGACCTCTATCTCACACCATATACAAAAATGAACTCAATGGACCAAAAACCTAAATGTTAGAGCTAAAACTATAAAACTCTTATTTAAGAAAACATAGATGAAAATCTGCATGACCTTGGATTAAGCAAGTTTCCTGGATATGACACCAAAAACAAAAGCAATCAAAGAAAATAACAGGTATATTGAACGTCATCAAAATTAAAAACTGTGTGTGTCAAAGGACATATATTAG